TACCTGGTGTGTGCTGAGATTGCAAAGGAGGACGTCTCCAGAGGAGGTGGCCACACACACAGACTCCTGATCCAGCAAGTCCTGAATCCCGACGATGCAGCCGCTTCCATCCTCCGGGAGAAAGCCTTCTGCCACCAAAGGAATTTCATTTCTCACCTGTCACCAACACAAACACACAAGTAAATTAAGCCAATTCACTTTCAAGAACAATTCATAACATCTCCAGAAACAAAATACTTTTTAATGTTTCTTTTATAATATAAAAGCTTTCAAAATATTTTCCCTAGATTAAAACCCAAACTTTCATTTGAGAAATCTCACAACCCTATTATCTCTAACAAGAAAAATAGTTAATGCAACCTTTGCCAAGCAAACAAAAAACAAAAGCAAAAAGCCTGGTCTTTGTAAAAATGTCCAATAAAAGATAATAACTATGGTGTGCTAAGATTTCTATAATATGGAGAAAAGGGACTAAGAATGTAATCATCTAAAATACATTAGTAGCAAAATATAATCAAGGGAAGATTCTAGAATCCACACAAAGAGCTTTTAAATATATTCACATGCTCAGGGGCCAGCAGTGAAGATTCTGATTTAGTTGGTATGGGATGGAGGTTGTAACATAGTTTCAAAAAGGCAGTTTTCATTTGCATTTCCAGTTAAGCACCACTGTTATAAACAGTACATGGTAGAAAGGGTAAAAAAAAAATGAAGGGCACCTACACAAAATAGAAGGTCAGAGCTTTGGCAACTCAGATTTAAAACAGCAGGTAAGTTAAAGGTAGGTTACTATTTAAGATGTGTCTAATATGGTATCACTATAAAGCAAAGGAAGCGTTCATTTAGGGCAGCGGTTCTCAACCTGTGGGTCACAATCCCTTTGGGGGTCGAACGACCCTTTCACAGGGGTCGCCGGGTACTCATATGTGGGCGTATCTTTATGTGGGCGTATCTGCATGTGGGCCTGGAGACGGATAGAGGAGCGGTGTCTTGGTTCCTAAGACCATCGAAAATATGTGTTTTCCGATGGTCTTAGGCGACCCCTGTGAAAGGTTGAGAACCGCTGATTTAGAGGATAAAAATTCAGTGAAGATTTAAAAACTATCTGAGGAAGCAAGTTTGGAAAAAGACAAGTCCACAGTCATGCCCAGTACTAGCATTCTCCATAAACGGCTCACTTCTCTTGTAACAGGGTCCACTTCTATCAGTCCATATTCTGAGCCAATGATCACTGTTCTCTGTTCAGATCGAAGAGAGAAGCACTGAGGTTTCCCCGGAGCCTGAATATCCCTGAACTCCTGGGTCCGAAATAACTTCAGATTTCTCATGATGAAGCGATTCCTGAAAGAAAGGTACAAATACACCTTGATGACGCATTCCTTTCTCAGAGAGCAAAAGATTTAACATCAGTTATTCCTCAGGAAAGTTGAAAAGAACAAAATGAATGGGAAAACATTTTATTTTTGAATCCTGAGGATATCATTTTATAACCCGATAGATTAATAAAATCATATAAAATATATATATTTTATATTATATATATATATTTGAAAAAAATCTGTAATATATTACTTTAATATCACCAGGTACATTTATTTACAAACTGGCTTTATACATTCATTAAAAAAATTAAAATTTAAATAAAAAATAGAAATAAATATAAGTATTTACTCTTCTAAGAGGAAAAATAAGACACTGTAAAATTACAACAGTTTACTTCAAAATGATGGCCTACACTTGGGGAGTTTGATGACCTGGTATAACTATTTCACGTAGCTCCACTTTCTTGGCCTGGTTTTCAACAGGCAATAGCAAGGTGAGAAAAGAATGATAAATAGGAAACCTGCTTTGGTCTGGCAAAACTAGACTTGCTTTAATGCATAATATTATCTAAGTAGGAGAAAAACAAATGTCAATGTGCTGGATATTTATATTCAGATCCTTTAAGGTTTATAATTGAAGTCCCTAAATTATGCTAGGGGTGACAATTACACAGACCACACTGGCTTTACTGCCACCATAATCCAAGGCGAATTCTTTTATCTTGGCATTTCACACATATGACATTGAAAAAATAAAGATGAGTTGATTCTCCTACAGAACAGTTAATGTTAAGTATAATATGAATGTTACAACATCTAATATGGGTTAAGAGGAAGGCAAAGCCATACATGGTGGGAGTAAGATAGAAATTCAAGGCAGACAGCGGTTTTCTAAGTTTTGGTGACATGCATACTCAACACTTCTGGAAATTATTCGAACCTGTATTACACCATGCAGGTTTTTAATTCATATCCAATTCTATATAGAAAGCATATAAAATTATATAAAGCATATAAAAGTCCTATCTCTTTCATCTTTAAACATCATAAAGATGACCACTGACATAGATCTGAAAGAATGGGTAGATCTGAAAGACGGGTAGATTTGAGATTCGAGAATGCCTGGCAAGTCTGGCCTATAGGGGAGCAAGCAAGGGACAGGGCAGCAAGAAATAAGGACAGGTAACAGCGGGCTGGATGTGTAGCTTCCTGGCTGTCTTTCATGCTGGTTTATCTAATAATCATATGCTGTTACTGTTGCCATGATCAGATCACAAAAATATCTTCACATCCCTCCCTGTGAACTTGGATTCTATTCACCAACAGCCTGTGAAGCCCTAAGGTCCATGGACCCCAGGATAAGAATCTGCAGGATAAGTAGGAGCTAAGGACTCACTTTTCCCTCTTATCTTGCTGTTCCTGTCACTGTCACCTCAGCAACGGGCCTTCATCCTTCCAGGGCCCTTGGACCAGCCTCATCACCCCCATCTTTAACACTCCCAGGATCAGCCTCATCACCCCCATCCCCAGAGGTACTAACCAGGCAGGCCCTTCCCAGACAAATGAAATCCAGCAACACCGGGCTCCCTCTCTGGATTCTGGAGGTATCACCACCGGAAGTCTGAGCCCCAGCTTTACAATGCCTCTCCTCCAAGTTTAGGCCATGATAATCCCATGGGCTTCCCTTGTTTGGATCCCCAACCTTAGTTAAGTGTTGTAGCTACTTCCATCAGGTTACCTTTCATGTTATTTCACTGTTCCCTTTTTGTTCCTCCAACAACTATATAACCAGTGTTTCACTTTAAACTCTGTTAACGTGTGGTTTCTACTTTCCTGACTGGACCCTGACTGGCAAACACAGCGAACCACCTGAATTTTTCTATCCCTGAGCTTTCAGCATCACAGGCGAGATGAGCTCATCATTCCTCTACGATCTCCCCAACTCTCCCAGTCTCTGAAACAACTTCTCTAAATGTTCACACCCATCATCAACCTTATTCCCGTATCTTCTAAGAAGTGTCTCAACGCCTCTGCAAGGCTAGGAAAGGAGTATCCTCTAAACTCCCCAGGACCTGGGCTTCCTTTCTTTTTGCATCCTTTCTCTTCCATCTGCAATCTCCAACTCCCCGCCGTTAATGATTCAACTTCTCTCAGCTCTTACATGTGCTAAAGATCTCTCCACACCATAGATCGCCCCTAATCTTCTCCAAAATTTGACAAGTCCTCCATTTTCTTCCCTTGCCCCTTCATCTGCCTCTTGGCTAATTATCATGCCCATGACTACACGTGCCAGGCAGATCACTAATATACTACTGGGTCGTCGAGAAAGTCATGACGCATTTTGGCATTGAAAAACATAGAAAAATACGTCATGACTTTCCCGACTACCCAAAAGATCTAAATGTCTAGCCCTGACTCTCCCCAAACTGAACACTAAACCCACACTGTCAACCTCCTGATGCTATCACAAGGATGTCTCACAAGTAATCAAATGCAACTTGGAAAACTTGGTATTTTCCCACCAAATGGCACTGCCACTCTCTCTGTTCCCTCAGCTGAAAACCGTCTTTGCCTTTTTGCTCCCACTTTCATATTTAACTATTGACTGGTTACTTCCGTGGCTGTCAATACACTGCTTGAATCGTTTACATAGTATCTAGTCAATCCTACGATTCCATCTGTGGCCCACATCAAACACTGAGCACTTGCTGAGTACTAGGATCTGAAGACAAGAGATGGCTCTGTCATCGCTTCCACAGAAGTCACAGCTTAACGGTAGAGAGGGCCACATAATAAACCACATTAGATGGAGAAGCACAGGGGACAATCTCTCCACGAAAAAGTCGCAGACACGAGGAGAGACCCGCAGCAGTTTTCGAACCTCTAATAACCATTGCCTCCCATAAGATTATATATTAACTGGTTGGCTTTCAGCGGTACTGTCTACACCCGCAAGGAATCCGCTAAGTGTGCAGCCGCGGAGCAGAGCACCCCTCCCGCCCATGGTTGCAGGCGGAGCGGGTAGCAAGCTTGCCGAAAGAGAACTTAAGGCTCGAGGGCAGAGGTGGTCACGCCGCACTCCACTCCCAGGCCTGCAGCAGGCAGACGTCGCGCGCTTGGCGTGCCCCTTCTTCAGGACAACCCCTGGAGGACAGGACCCGATTCCGTGCCTACACCCCGGATGGGTCGCTAGAACGCTCACCTGCGCCGAGCTTCGAGGGCTCCCAAAGAGAGGTGCGTCCACCCTCGCCTCCCGGGCCACGCGCTGCTGGCCTCCCGGAGCCCGCCCGGAGCTGCGCACGCGCCTCTCCCGGTCCGCGGCTCAGGCGCTCCCGTGGCGCGCACTGGGGCTCCGGGCCGCTAGACCCCCGCGGTAGCGGCTGAAGCCCGACGGAGCCGAAGCGGGTGGGAAGAGAAGGCGCTAGCGAGACAGACGGGACTCACGCCGAGTGGCGCGGGAGTGACGTCACTGGGCTGAGGGGGCGTGGCCGGCCTTATCCGCTGGTAGCCCCGGCAAGGCTGCAGGGGAGAAGCTGCGTTGACCAACCCCCCTTATCCCTACGCCCTCCTGCCCAGCCTATTGTATTTCATCTCCACTTGGACGCCAACCCCAAAGCCCAGTAATTGGCGCCGGTGGGAGGAGCCTACAGGGCCAGGAGAACAGCGCGCATGCGCACGCTGCGAGCCGCGCGCCGGAAGGACTCCCTCCTCCCCGGCCTTCATGGAGGAAGCACTCGGGTCTCCGAGGGCGGAGGTAGCGGCGCAGGAGGTCGCCATGGCTACCGAGCCGGTGGCGGCGGAGCCTACGGTGCCGTCGCTTGTGGATCGTTACTTCACTCGCTGGTACAAAGCCGGTAAGTGGGGAACGATGTCCATCTCTCCTTGGCCGCATTGGCCGGATGCTCTAGGGACTATGGCGACACATCGTAAGCCACGAGCGCTCTCCCCGGCGCTTCTTCCTCAAGGTAGAAGGAACTGGGCCTCTCTGTTGCCCTCTAAGCCAAGGGAATGGGCATTTTAAAAGGCATGGAGGAGGACTGAAATGTAACAGGGCGAATTTGGGGGCTGACGAGTGCCGGGCGGGTTCCAGGATGGGTTGCTTGCGGGAAGATGTGTAAAGTGAGGCCCCGAGGTAGGCAGGGGCTGGATTGCATTCATCTTGAGCGCCTGAAAGGATTTGAGGGCACAATTCTATAGGAATGGCGATATATAAACGGATTTAAATGATCAGGTCGAAACTCAGGTAGAAGCTGTAGGGATGGAGAGAAGGCGGGTTAGAATAGAGGCATTTAGAAAGCAGAATCTAACAGTTTAAAGAGAAGCCGCCGGTGTTAAACATTTGCCACTGAATAAGTAGGTATTCCGTTGTACTGTTTTTGTACCCAGTAAATATGTGGTAGGATCGTATTTACTGGGACCCTCCTAACCCCTACTTGCTCTCTTTGATACAGGGATAATAGGTGTACTCATTTAAAAAAAATATTGCAGTATATGCTTTATGAGCCAAATTTAGGGTGACTAACCGCCCCAGTTTACCCAGGACTGAGGGGTTTCCCCGGAATCCGAGACATTCAGCGCTAACTTTGGGACAGTTCTAGGCAAACTAGGAGTTAGTTAGTCACTGTAAAATTGACCAAGAAAACCTACACTACTGTATTATATAAAGAATGCATTGCTAATCGCGTTTTAAAAATAGAAATAATGAGTGTTCTCATTTTAAAGTGAGGATAAAGCAAGATGGAGCAGAGTTAACAGTCACTTTAACATTGAATGAATGATTCCATCTGGGTCAGGTCTCTTTAAACACTTCATAGCAAGCCTTTTAGGTATATCTTTTTGAGTAATGAAGGGATACCAGTGATCAGTATATGTACAATCTTCATAATTAACTATCTCTATGAACCAAAGGAAGTGACTCTACAACTAACAGACTCATTCATTCTTCTAGATGTCAAAGGGAAACCCTGTGAGGACCACTGTATACTACAGCACTCTAACCGGTAAGCAAACTGGAAATTTTAAATTATCAAAAAAAACTTTTTTTCTGGTATTATAGTCTGGTATGGTCTTATGTTGAACAAACATTCAGTAAATGATTAACTTCCACTGTGTTGAAACAGTATTTATTATAGGTGTTTGGTTGACGAGAATGAGCCTCTGAGTGCCTATTCACTCTAAACAAAATTGATTACCCACACCCCCAAATGAACCACCACATCCTCAGTCAGCTACTGTCTGAAGTCACCAGGCGGTGCCTACTCCCTGAAGGGCCAGCGCTAGGGGAAAGGCCTAGGTGGTATCCTGTACATACAGGCATGCTGTACTTCTCTTCCACCTCAGCGCTACCTCAAGACCATCGGTACCCTTTCCTTCTCTGGGAAGCAAATTCAATCCCATTTTCTTCTATTTTACTGTTGCATTCCCTTTTACATTTAAGCTCTGATAATAACCAGGGGGAAATGGGGGAGAAATGATAGCGTAGCTAAACAAATGTCAGTTCAGATACTCTTGTGCTAGTAGGAATACTGTGTTATACCAGGAAGAATTATATGAAGCAATAATACAGGATCAATTTTTGCTCCTTGTAGAATATGTGTCATCACATTGGCAGGATCTCATCCAGTTCTTCAAAGTGGAAAAACAATTAAAAGCATTTCCTATCAAATCAGTACCAACTGTAGCAGACTTCAGAACAAGGTCTCTGGGAAATTTAAGCGGGTATGTTCCTATAATTCTCTACTTAAATCCTCTGTATCATAATAATGATAAATCCAGTCAGTCTTAGAATCCAGCAATGTATGCTCTGCACACTTCCTTGGCAGTTTGAGGTGCTATCTTAAGAATATTTTAACCCTACAGAAGTTCTCAGATGAAAAAACTGAGGCATTTCAGGAGGTATATAGATTCTGTCATTTTAGGTTCTGTACCAACACCCTTGTTATCCTGAGGATGAGGAAGGTGGGTCTTTGAAAGGATAGCTCCAATGCTAATATAATGAGATATTTTGTCCCTTCTAGTTTTATTAAACCAGTATTTTGAATTCTATAAAATTTTAGGTGACCAACTCTTTACCATATATTTTCACATGTAAATTAAAAAGAAAAAGCAATTTCCTGAAAAAGTATCAATCTGAAAAAATACCTACACAGTATGTGCTCCTTAGCATTTTCCATTCCTTAATGGTTGCCAATTTAACATGCACCTAGTCACACCCTCTACCTTCACACAGCGCTCATCTGTACAAAATGTTATCTCTACCCTCTACACCTGTAAACAGGATGGACACATTTTATTAAAAGAGTATTACTTTTAGTGGCTCTATCATAGTGGATAATTTAGTGGATAATTACTGAGTTCATACTAAGAATTTCTGTTAATAACCCTCACTGTTCTAGGAGACATTTATTTGTACTCCCTTTTGTAGGCCTGAAATACTCTTAATAACATGCTTTATAGTTATTGAGTTTACCTCACTCAGGAAACACATGGACTTAGCAAAGCATGGACCATTTTTAAAAGATAAAGTCTACAAATTACAAGTAAAACAGTTAGTGCTTGTGAAGTTCTTTGATGTTCCTGATAAATCTTTGTCCAAAATTGTAATGCTATAGTTACTACTGAAGAATAGACAGGGACCTGCAAGCGGAACCTGCTACAGATAAGGTTTGATTGGATCTCAGCACTGCCAATCATTTATTCTTTCAAAGGAGGTCATAAAAAGGAGTCCAAACATTTCTGCTCTTTTGACACAGTCCCAGTGGTAGACAAACCCTCTGGGATGAATCCCCAACCCCTCCTCCCAAAGGGGGAACCACACTGACTACTATTTTGAAATGAAGTGCCTACGTGCAGAGAAGAGAAGCCAATGTGATGATATATGCATGTTGTCTAATAATGTTTTGAGTGGTAAAGATCATAAGGAATAGCATCTTCCTCTAATGCTTTTTTCACTACAGGAAAAATTCTTGGGGAACAAAGAGCAACATATGAGACATGCTTGCAGCAGTTTCCCATGAGCCTCCTTGTAGGCATTTGTCAGAAACTCCCCAGATACATCTACAGGGTGGAGTACAGTAACCATGAAACAATAACCATGCCATATCATTCCAACAGATTTATGTTAAAATGTATTGACTTCTGGGTTATAGGATAATGGGTAAATTATTATTTTCTATTTAAAAAACTTGTCTGTTTTGCAAAATTTCCTCAAAGTGCATTTCTTTTTAATTAGAAAAATAGCTCTTCAAAAAGTCTTATTGATTGAGGCTAATGAAGAAGCTCCTTTATTAAGTTCTAATATGAATATAAGGTTGGAATCTTAATGAAACTAACTTTGTACAATACTGATGTCACACTCTGTCATGATGAATTTTCCTATAATTTTGAAATCTTTATACCTGACTATATGCAGCTGTCTCATTTAAAGTTGATAAAATATATCCTTAATCTTTAAACTACCTATTATCACAAGTCTTAGTCGGCTTTTCCCCCTAGAGCCTAGGATGAAACCCGGCCCATAACAGGCACTTGTATAAAATGTTTGAATAAATGAATGGTTTTTCTGTACTTAAGTCATTTTTGTTCAAAACACTAGTTCTAGGATTATATCCTATTATAATATTGAGAGCTACCACTCAAAGGAAGGTGAAAATGTACACCAGTCATCACTTCTTCCCTTTTATTATCAGGGGGCACAGTTTCTAACAGAACTCGCACCTCTGTGTAAGATTTACTGCTCCGATGGAGAAGAATACACCATATCAAGGTGAGTTACCTTTTTTATTTGGGAGGGGGGGGATACTTTTTAACCACAATTTAGGAGAAATAAACAGGGTAATATTTTTCTTTAAAACAATTCTTTTTTTAATAGCTGTGTTAGAGGACGGTTGATGGAAGTGAATGAAAACATTCTCCATAAGCCATCTATTCTTCAAGAGAAGGTAAGGGGTTGGGGGGGTGTTTGATCCCATTCACATACTATTTACCTGATTTTTGTCATTTGACAGTCCTAAATATTCTATTTCCTTTCTAGCCATCCACTGAAGGCTATATTGCAGTTGTGTTGCCCAAATTTGAAGAAAGTAAAAGCATAACAGAAGGGTTACTGACACAAAAACAGTATGAAGAAGTCGTGGTAAAACGCATTAATGCCACAACAGCTACATCATGAGGGTTGAGACGGAATAAAAAGCAACATGGCATTCGATCAGTGCCCTGAGGAGAACCAGCGTATGTGAAGAAGCACTTCACAGCCAGCCATCTGCAGGGAGGCCTAGTTTTCTTCTTTTGTCTTGCATAACAAGCCTTGATTCCCATTTTGTCTTTAACCTCCCAGATCAGCCCTGCCATGTGCTCACTCTGGTCGTCTTTTGCTTTTGTCTAACAGCTGGCAAGCAAGGGATGTTTTTCTGATTAAAAACAAACAAAGTACTTTGAGGAAAATTTGTAAAAGACAAAAATTTTAAGTAGCAAAGTAAAAATTTACCCATGATCCTGTAACCCATTAGTAAATCTACATTTTAACATACTTCTATTTGAATGTTACAGCATGGTTAATGGTTTTGCCTCAGTCTTCCATCAGCTGCAAGTTAAAAGGAACACCAACAGGCCTTTCTGACACCGTCTGCTTCAGTGTGACCACAAGTGCAGTCCCGACCTTATGCTCCGCTCCTTTCCCTTTCAATTGTAGGGGAGAGGCAGAGTGTGGAGTGGACCTTCTCTAGTCCTTCATGCCGCTGGGATGGCCATCTTCTCAGAAACAAAGTAGAACTGTAACACTGGCTTCTTAAATAAGGGACACATGAAAAGGCTTTGAAAAATACAAAGGGCTTTCTTAACCTATGGAAATGTTATAATGCAGTGCATACATTGTAGTCACTCAGTCTCACACTATAGTTACTGGGTAACCAGCAAGTTACTGTAATTTCAAAGACCCAGAGGCCTTTGAATAGAAGAAACGCTTTCACATCATTTATGCTAAACAAAAACCAAAAAAATCCCTGAATTTATAGTTTAAGACTATACTTATTTACACTGAATTTTAAATAAAGGGACTTTAAAATTGTTATTTTTTAAGGGCTGCAATACATGTACTTTTAAATAAAACATTTAATACAAATCACTTGATGTGTAAATCCCTTGGTTCTTTATTTTTTCATGCTGTTGAAGTCAAAAGTTATCCCTTCCCCACCCCCACTTGCACTTCAGAGAATATTCTCATTTCAGGTATGTAAAAGTATTTTATAAATAAAATTAAAAATCATTTTTTACTCACAAAAGCTTCTGGTAACTTGAATGCCAGTATGACTGTCCCTAAGTATGCCCACCAGACATGATACGGGTAGTAACTCTACAAACAGTTCACTGACCATGCTGTGAACTGAAAATGTACACGTAAACACAAACCAGTAGATCCCCAGTTTGAGTAGCACAATGATTCCCAAAGGTGTCATGAGACAAAGATACTAAAGATAGGAAAAGAATTATATATCTAGGCGCTGCTGGGTGGCTCAGTTAGAATGCATACTCTGAGCAACAGGGCTGTGGTTCGATTCCCACATGGACCAGTGAGCTGCGCCCTCCGCTACTAGATTGAAGGAAAACGACTTGGAGCTGATGGGTCCTGGAAAAAACACATTGTTCCCCAATAAAGTTTAAAAAAAACACATTGTTCCCCAATAAAGTTTAAAAAAAAATTATCTATTTTACATTAACATTCCCTCACATCATTCACTATTTCTATTGTAATTTAACTACTGCCATTTGGTAACTGACATATCCTATGAGATTTCAAAATGGATTTCAAAGCATTGGGATACAAGCACTATCAAACGAGTCAAAAACAAAGTTAACCATATTATACCATAAGGGCAGGACCTGTAAACCAGTTCCTTCCATCAAAACCCCACCCCACAAAAACAAGAAAAGCTTTAAACCCTAAAATTAAAAAGACAAAAGATGTTTATTTGTTTTAAAATGAATGTTCCAAAGGTACATATATAAAATATGATTATTCACAATTTATTTTAAACAGCTTCTTAGTTTCATCATTCTGTCTTAACATCTTCCATTCTATCCATCACTAATGAGAAGGACAGTTGAATACTTTTGTAAGCTGTTGAGATAGGCTGAGGATTCCAGCTAATAATACTCAGTGCAGACAGGCCAGCTCCTGGCTAGAATTGGAACTAAAAGCCGTCCCCTAGTGAGTTTCTCCGGAATTCAGTGGAGTGAGCTTTGGGAATGGGGGAGGCGTATGTATCACAACAGATAACCTGTGCTGTGTGAGATGCTTGTTAGAGAACAACTGTGTGCTACCTGTGACAGCCAAGAGTGGCCAACCAAGAGGCCCAGTCACACCTGATGGATAGGGGGATTGAAGAGTCCACAGGCTTGAGGAAAGCTGCTTTCAACCAGACTACTGTGTATTTTCTGCTGAAAATTAAGTGTTCTAGATGATAAGCTTAAATAACAAATGGAAAACAGGAAGGTAAAATATGCTAAAGGTGAGCACGTCTTCAAAATAGCTTCTTTGGATTAAACTGTCATTGAGACAGCTGGGATTTTTGGCTTGACTTTTAAAGAACATTATTAGCGGCAATGTCTCATTTTAAAATCACACTGCAATTAGAATTCTAGCAGCTACCATGGCATTTATTAGTTCTTCAAAAAGCTTCACAATCAGTTTCATGATCAGAAAATAAAGCAAGATTTCTGTATTGTTTATAAAATTATTGACTTTCTGAAAATATAAAGGATCATTTGCTTTCTAAAAATGTGTCAGCTTTGCCACATGGCGTTCTGGTGATCTGAGCTCAAAAGCTTCTCAAGTTTTACCATTCACGGAGTCTTTATCTGTAACTCCAACCCATCTGTTGTTTTCCATCTGAAGCTGGAAAAAGTTAAGACAATTAGTTTCTGCTTTCCTTTCAAAACTTGCAAAATTACATAGTAACTATATTCTTTTGTGTTGTCCTTTAAGCTAGATTTTAACATGTGAGCGTAAGGTAGGAAAACTGTCTCACCTTCTTCAGCAGCTTAAAGCAAAGTGAGAGGAGCTGGACCAAAATAGCCATCATGGATCTTGTCTTTGTAATACACTTATCAACCTATCGCGACAAAAAGTAAGCCAATCAAATTCCTTTACAAGGGCTACTTCAGAATTCAGTAAAAAACAAGCCTACTGCTCCCTGGCGTCAGTTGTAACTGCAGACAAGTGATTCTTGCAGTCAAGGCATGAAAAATGGAAATACATTGCTCTTCTGTGGTTGTTAATACTTTATTTGAAGAAAAAGGAGCTGGGAGCTACCCTGATAAAGAAGTGTCCAAGTTTCTCAAGTGCCTACATGAATAACCCACCCTCACTTTTTTACCTTTAGAAACACTTGATTCTGCAAAGGTGCCTTAGTTATTGTCTGGAGCTGGTGGCACAGAGGAATTAGCTTGTTTATTTCCAGGAGAAGCAGAAGCTTGTCATCATCTTTCAGCTGAAATGTAATTTAGGAAGTTATAACAAATCCAACAAAACTCTTATCTTTTAAACCTTAAATACCTTTATACCTTAATAATATACCCCCAAAGTGGGTATTTGTGACATCCCCACCAACACCAGGCAGTAGGCCTGTTACCTGTTTTGAGAACGCTTGTACACTTGAAGCAAGCTTCAAGCCCTCTTCAGCAAAAACCTGGAGGAAAGGAAAAATACCACTGCTTTAGATGGGTGTCTTCTGGAGAGCTGGTGGGATACATACTCTTGGATAATTCTCACATAGAATTTCAACACTGAAACGTAAAAAGGGAAGGTCTGTCATGGAACTCCTAAAATTTTTGTTGTACCCAGGAAAACACAACAGTTTAACTGTATTCAGAAGAAGATTTCCTAGACCTGGTGCAGAATCAATCTCTGGAGAGACTCCTCTGCAACTGGACACCTCGAATTACTTGGGGATCACGTGGACCTATGACACTTAGCCATGCAGATTGTGTCTGGGCTTCTGGAGGGATCTGAAGTTCATCTCATAATATCCCCAATTAGAAAAAGGTGATGAATCTTAGAACATGGGCTCAAAAGGTTAGAATTTTCCTGCTTTCAGCTAAGCAAGATAAAATTTGTCACCCATACACATTCCCAACCAGCCATTTGAGAGGCCCAATTGAGATTGGTTTTTGACTATTCACCACGCGTTACACAATTTAGTAGGGAGAACAGGATGATGGGGGAAAACAGTGACGACTAATGTTAGACAGATAAGATAAGAATATTCAGGATGGCTACTTATAAAAGGTATGTAGAATATTTTAGAGTGAAAGGTACCAGGGGAGTAAGAGAATGAAGACTTAGCTTTAGGTGGCAGCAGTAAGAATGAATAAAACAGGGCAAATTTGAGAGTGATTTGTGAAGAAAAATAACATGTCTTGGTAAAAAATTAGATAAAGAATAATAAGAAGGAGGCAATAATTTGAGGGTTAACTTTAACACTCTATCCAACAGCCTTAACACTTGGCTGTCATTGGATAAACTGATCTCAAGGTCAAATAGTCCTTTGCAGCCTTTCCTATCCTTTAAAAAGGAAACCAGTGAGTTTTACACCTAACATCTAACCTAACGGTAGGATTCACTTGCCTATATGCTCTTCATCATTCCATGGTACCCCTTTCTATTCTACACCTCTTCCCTTTTAACCTGAAAACTCCTTTGGGGCAAGATCGATGTCAAATATCATGGTTTCAAAACCACCTGAAAGCTGATGACTCCCAAACCTCTCTCTCCATTCCTGAACTGTCCTGATACCAGTCTTATATCTCCTACTTGAGCCAAACAAAATGCTTCATTTCCACCCTCTAAATCTGGTGTTGTCCCTCAGTGTTCCCCATCTCAGGAAGTGACACTCGCATGTACCATTGGCCAAGCCAAAAGCCCTTTAAAACAGAAGTGAGGTCATGCCACTGCCCCTCAAAATTCTCAGTGGGTTTTTCATCATACTTGAAAAACAAAGTCTACCTTCTTTCTATGACTAAAGAGGTGGTATATGTTACCAATTTCCTTCTGGGTCACCCCATTCCATCTATATTTGCCTCCTTATTGTTCTTCAGATACCCCCAGCCTACCCCCCAGACCTCAGGGTCTTTACACTTGTTCTGTCTGCCTGAAATAGTCAACCCCAAGATATCCATCCAGCTCACTGTCACTTCGTTAGTATCTCTACTCAAATGTTACCTCCTTAGAGAGGTCTTTTCTGATCACCTTTCTATCACCTCTCTCTTCTTACCCTACAGGATTTATCTCTAAGTACCTCTTCATGGGCATTGCATACTTTTTATTGTCTATCTCCTCCCACTACAACACGCTTCATGGGGGGAGAGGCTTTGTTTTGTTCCTTGTTCTCCAAAGAGCTCCTATCCCCGGGGATCTGACACATAGTACAAATTCCATACATAACTTATGAACAGTGTATGTTCATCACAGTTAGTAGATCATTCAGCAGACATCAGTTTAATGAATAAGCTCACACAGGAAGAGGGTGAGTAGTGCGTCTTCTGCAGTGAAATAACCCCTATGGTGTGGTGTGACTTGGAATGGATATGGGCCAGGGGGAACACCATGAATCCAGAATTTATTCCAACTGTTTTAAGAATAAACGTTCAAAGCAAAAAGACTCACATGAGAATCAGGGGAAATAAGGAATCTTGCAATCCACTTGCTAATCTAAAGCCTCTAACTAAAGGAGAATTAGAGACAGCCTAGGTGGAGTTCCGTTAGACGCACAGGGGCACGAGGTAGGTGTTAGGATATCTGTCTCTCCCTGAATGCCCTAAATCATCAGGATTATGGAAGAAAAAAAGGAAACTAACATGTACTGAGTTCCCGCTCATGGTATCAAGCCTCTGACAGATGCTTTCTTATGTTACCTAAAGCTTATTATTGCATCTCTTGGCTATCAAAGCCCATTCTTCTTCATCTCTATTATATTTAAGTTGTTGTTGTTTTTTTTCCAATAAGATAACCAAAAAAGCTCTACAAAATGCTCCTGCAAGCCCCCTACTTTTCTACTACTCTCTCTAGTACACATGTGTGTGCACAGGTAAGCACAAAAAACATGACCAGTAAATCATTTAGAAACCAGTTATTACCCACTGTTAGTCCTGAGCTGAAGTAGTAGCATAAAATGGAAATAAAACATACCTCTAGTTGATGAATTAAATCCTGGGATGTTTTCAGTGGCCCTTCTCCCCTGAAATAAAATGAATCATTAAGGAGGTAAGAAAGTTACTGCCTGGAAATTGGTTTTATAATATTAAAATTTTAGAGGATTTTATATAGTAAAAGATCCCAAATTTTGAAGAATATTGAATAGATTAACAATATTGTGACTTCATTCTTATAGCAACTTTAATATTACTTCTTAGGGCACTTTTAAAAATTCTAAGTCAACACTACATAGTATGTTAATTTTATAATGTAAAGAAATTTCAAACCGGCAAGTTATACTTAAGTCTTATTTTTTCCTGTTTAATCTTTTCCACTTTGCTTCATCAATTAAATATATGAGATCTGATAATATGGCTTAACCAAAAGGCCTTTGTTACATCACAGAAAGAGGATAAAGCTGAAAATAAGGATATTCTCATTTCTGACTCCAATTTCAATTCTGGAAGGAATTCAGTTGTCTTTGTTGAGTCACGTCATTTAACCTCCCTGGCAGTCTGATTATGTCAGTAATTTTGTACCCAAAGCGGTACATTGTTTTGCATGAAAATTTGTTTTATATTGTAGGCCTGTAATTCTTAGGAATTACTCACTTAAATCTGTCCAAACAAGAGTCTGGTAGGCATCCCAGGTATGATAAAGTTTGAAACACAAAATCATAAATTATAATATAATAAATAATTATAAAAAATAATATAATTTTATTCAATAATGTAATCAAATGAAAAACATTGCAATTTGTCATCGGCCGGCATTCTCGTCGGCGATCACAGGAGGACACTGCAGGATCGCAGGGAGCAGGTAAGGGACTTCTCTGGGACACTGCAGTGTAATCCTGAGTGTGGCTCGGGGTAACC